TATTCGCAAATTCTCGCAAGTGCTGAGACACGCGTATATCTCTTTATATAGAATCTCGATTTAATAACTTACACCGGCGTCTAAGGTAGGCTTCCACTACAATACCTTACTGATGAGTCCAGTAGTGGAAGCCGGGACGAAACGCCAAACATTACGTGATATTCTTCGCAATATAGAATATTAGAATATATTATCAGATTTAGATTGACTCTTATTCGCCATTCTTAACGTATTAATTATTGATAATAATAAATATAATAATATTAATCATAATGATTCTTCTTCTTCTTCGAATATTAATGGTCCTGATCTTAAAAATGATACGATGCATGAGGCGAGACGAAACAGAAACAGAAACTATGAAGTTTGTAGAGCTACAATCAGCTACAACTTACAGCGCCACTAGAATGAGATAGCATGATTTTTTCTCTCTCGCACAATTTCGACGAATAATGGCGGACTTCACGTGTCCAGACTCTTATTAGAGGGTCACTATATATACTCACTCTATCCTGCGCTGCTCATCGACGCTCATGGCGTGACTCACGCGACCCACGAGCTCCGACGTCACATTTCACAACTGACAGGTGAGACGTAACAGTTGGGAGAAAGTGTGAGGTTAGGATGCGGAATTGCTGGTGAAAGATCGGCGATGTCGCGTCACGGTGCAGTTTTACCTGCTTAATACCTTGCTTATTGAACATAAATTCCCAGTAGCAATGATGGACGCTGACAAAGTTCTGTGTAGGATTTTCGGCACGAGTCCCCTCAACACCGAGTCTACTGCCGCCAGTAGATCTAAAGACGATCATCTCGGACAATCCAGGTAGGAGTTAAGACCCTAGAAGTAGAAGCTGAGTTCTTCTTAATAAGTCCTCTGTTTAGTTTTCCGACTCATTGAAGGGTCATAGTATACGCGATAAATTTACGTTTATTTTCATGAAGCAAAGATTATGTTTTGTATAGAAATCACACATGTGTAATATTCCTTTTATACGAAGTTCATCTTTTCTGATCAGGCCTTAAGCTTTTATATTGTTTTAACCACACCTGACTTAAGTCAGGATAGTAATGTAAACTGGGGCATATTTCTCCTTAAACAGAGACTCTCTAGCATTTAACTTGTAGTTTCATAAATGGAGCTTATTCTTCATATATAATGTAGAAAAACTGTATATATAAGATGGAATTGAACTGAATCTTTTCTCAGATAGTAAATTGACCATCTAAGACATGTAGCAACACTTGTGCAACCCAAGCTGAGTTTGCTTCTCTCAAGCTGTATCTTACTTTTTTATTTTTTTTTTTAGAATAATAAATCAATGTAATAAGCCTTTAGTTTCTAAACCATGATATTTCTTTTTGGCAAAAAGTGTTTCTATAGTACTGCCTTAAGCAAGTTAATTGCAACTGTAAAGTTTAAAGCTTAGACTAAACTAATATCACAAGCTCAGAATACATGGCTAAAAGGATGTTTATATACTTATTATTGTGTATTATAAGGATAAAGAAAGAAGTTATATTAAAGCTGCAGAAGTGCAGAAAATTCTATTATAGATAAGATCTAAAAGTCCATGTATATGTCTGCTTTAAATACCTTAGCTCTGTAATTATTTATGCTTTTTTATTTTACTTTATATTAGGCTGGGTCTACAACCTCGCTTTAAGAGGCCCTAAGCCGTAAAGCCGTAAGAAATTAACCAATCACAGAAACTTATTTTTCTCGCATTCAACTATGATTGGTTAATTTCTTACGGCTTTACGGCTTATGGCCTCTTAAAGTGAGGTTGTGGATCCAGCCTTTAATATAAATGTGTTAATATTTTATATTTTCTTACTATTTGTACTTTTAACCCTTTTAAATTTTATTAATAATGCAACATTGTCTATCAATTATTACAATTGCTAAGTTGTATTTTGTTTTAGATCATTTCAGAATTTGAATTGGGTAAACGAGTATATCAGAAAATCCCTCTTGAACTTATATATTGATATGTGGGATTCCAAGGACAATAGAGAGGGTCGTGTAGGTCCTCATCTTGTTAGATTCGACATATCTATGCAATATGGTCTCTGTATTATCTCTCCTGACAGACTAAGTGTCAATTCGCAGAGTAGCTTCAGCACAATACGAGCTAATACAGGAGTGTTCAAGGGAAAATGGATGTATGAAGTACAACTTGGATCCAAAGGAGTGATGCAAATTGGATGGGGTACTGCTCAATGTAAATTTAATCAACAATATGGCGTTGGTATGTTGAAACACCGTTGTAAAAACTGCAGCAGTACTTGCCATATTTTTATAATAATTTTCCACGAATGCTATCTTCTTATTAATACCTAGAAACTATAACACAGTTTAAAAATAAGCGATTTTGTCAAACTATTATAAAGTAGAAAGATATGTAAGGTAATTTGGCATGAGAGGGAAGATGCCACTTTATTTATATTTTTATTATAGAATATATATTAGCCATTCTGACTACGTAGAAGTATGTAGTAGACAATGGGTAAAAAATGCAATTATTTACAAATTCATGCTAATTGACATTGAAAGATATTTAACAAAATACAAAAAGGTAGATGATGAAATATGTTCTTTTTAGGCATGACATTTTTTCCAATAATACGGAATATTAAAAGTTTAATTCCTTAATTTATATGAATAAAGAAAGGTTTCTAGAATATAAATAATATTTTTTCGTTGATTAATTCATAAAAGTTATTCAACAATAAAGACTAAGTGTGGCATCTTCGCATGAATTACTTTATATATCGTCTGTATATGTACACTATCTCATTCTAACTTATACTATTTCTATAATCTTAATCAAGTTATAAAGTGAATATAAATTAAAGTAAGATAATATAAGTATATAGAGGAAAAAGAAATGTGCATCTTTATTTCTCTCGTTTTTAACGCTTATGATCATACATGTAATTGTAAGAGTCTTTACTAGTATTATAAAAACTTATTTTGTGTGTAAATTATTTTAGTTTAACATAAATTTATTATTATATATATTGAATGATGATGTTTGTAGACTCGTAAGATTTAAAATCATAGAAAGTGACAATGCCTACTCGAGTCATTGAAACAGGATGTTAATGTAAATTATAATTGTGTGAAATTATGTACCGCGTATGTAGTATGTATAAATTTATTAGTAACTAAGAGTTTGACTATTTCAGGAGACACCCCAAACTCATATGCTTATGATGGAAATCGTGTACGGAAATGGAACGTGAGTACGCACAAATATGGCGAAGCCTGGTTAACTGGAGATATTATCGGTTGCGCGCTGAATATGGATGATGGAACGATAGATTACTATAGAAACGGCAGGAGTCTGGGCAGAGCATTCGAGAATATACCAATGGGCGCCGGAATAGCATACTTTCCCACTGTTAGCCTGGCTTTCACTGAAAATCTAACAGCCAACTTTGGCTCCATACCATTTAGATATCCAATTGAGGATTATGAATCTCTGCAAGCACCGCCGATGGCACAAGTTCGCCAAGCCATGCTTCTTTTTCAATGGCTCTCGCAAGTGATTGAACTGATGGAATATTCTAAGAACGTTGACAAACAGAATATTCTATTGGATGATAAGACTATGAGTGCCCATGCATTTCTCATGTGCCTAGCGAGATCCATACTAAAACATATTGGTCCATTGCTCACCATTCCTTACGTTACTGAGATGGTTTTCGTACCATTCATACAAATGCTCTGTAATCTTAACACCGACGATTCTGCGACGAAATCCGCTTACTCAAATATTCACAGCGCGCGATCGATTGTCTGTCTGGATCTGTTATGGACATTTCTGGAGGAGCACGAAATTAAAATGTGCTTGGAAAGCACAGTGCTCCATTTATTGTCCGCTTTCCGACATGTTTCTTTGCTACTTGAATATCCAGATCAGTGCAAGAGCTTGATACTGCTAACTAAGATCTGTCAGCACACTGTCACACGGCAATATTTTCTACAATACCTGTTGTTCGATCGCGTACGTTTTGCCAATTTTGTACATGTCAAACCGCTTGACGAAGGCGGATTAATGAACGTAGTGGAAAAAGTCTGGTGGGAGACGAATCCTTTGGATTCGTCGATCGAGATAAACAAGACCAGTTACTTGTATGCCTGTGAGCGCATCAAAGCTGCCATATCTGGTGAGATTAAATCTTGTAACAACTGTTAAGACATTTAAAACTTTCACAATCATAAATTGTAATCATTTATAGAATAATTCTTAAGCTTAGAACATAATTAGAAATACTGATATTTTTTTATCTCATATTCGCAAAATGAATAGATATGATTATTCAATTTTTACATAAATGAATATTTTATCTTATAAATAATAACATTATACTTTGTATTTTTTTATAGAGGTAGAAGCATTACAAGTGAAGTTACTAGTCATTTTGTTAAATAATACTGATGGAACAGCCAAAAGGCCAACATCAAGGGCTATTTTTTTGAAAAAATTCAAACGTTTTGTTCAGGAAAATCTAATATCCAATCGTGTAAGTACACTACATATGTAGTAGTAAATATGGAGACTCTTATATGCGCGATTCGTCCGCGTAATTATCATGCATTCAGCCAGCAAACCTGCAGGCATTTTACCAATTCTGCAGACACCCCTGCCGATCACATTATGTTGCTTTCACCGACTTCTGGTTGCATTGAGAATTTTATGGGATACTGAAATTGGGACAAACTCTGTTTATATACCTTGCAGGTAACAAGACTTAACCAGGAATTATCAGACACACATACATTTGCGAAAAAATCGGCTCTTTCTACTTTAGTAATAAACGTAGAAACTTTCAATCAGCTTAATGCTTTTCTCTCATAAAGTTTATATACGTATATCTATATATATACACAATAATAAATAATAACACTAAAATGCTTGAACACTTGCAATGTTAGTTTGATGCATCATATTTATTTTTTAATTACGTATTTTATCCATTGGTATGTACCTGATTGTGAAAAATGTAGTTTCCTTTTTTATTTCTCTTTTCCAAATATACAGGGTAAGGCATCTAAAACAAACTGCCTAAATAACTTGCTTGTTTTAACAATAGAAAAAAAAAGTTGACAAACAAAAGTTGCTTGATTTCGAGGGACACATAATGTAATGTCAATAACTTTTTGTAGGTGGAAGTGTAGAAGAGCCTTGAAGAGAAGAAAGTGAGGTAAGCAAAGATCAAATCTGTTTCTTTTAATGGAATGATGTTTTTTACTTACATTCTGATAGAGTGTTTTAAGATGAATACACAGATCTAAAATTAAAAGTCATTTAAAGTTACACAAGCTATAATAAATTGTTTCAAAGCACTCTTCGAATAATTTTCTATCTTCTCTGCTTGTTGGTAAAATATATAAATAAGTAAATTAGTAAAATATTTCAAAAGCGTCTAGAAACAATTTATTTTTTATTGCAACTGACTTTGTGTAACTTGAATGACCTTCAATTATATGCATTCATCTCAAAACGCTTTATTAGAATGTAAATAAAAAAACATAATTTTCTTTAAAAAAAAAACAGATTTGACCTTTACTTATCCTCTACGCCTCCACAAAAAAGTTATTGACATCATATTATGTACCTCTCGAAATCAAGCAACTTTTGTTTGGCACTTTTCTTTCTATCATTAAAACAAGCGAATTATTTAAGTGATCTATTTTAGATACCTCACTCTGTATAAGCATCTACTTCGTACATTATTATTGTTATAATTCGCAAATATTATTGAGCGATGTTTAATTTACATAATAGCATTTCCTTATAAATTGGAATGGGCAGGGCGTTCTACGATGCATCGATCGATTACTCTGGAATCGACAGACTTGGTGGAGTAATAACTCACCTAAACAAGACATTTAGGAACGAATTGGTACGCCTCCTAGGTTCAGATCATGAGATAATCACTGCGATGGACCAACAGCAGCAACAGCATACTACAGCAGCGACGAATGAAGCATCAAATAATGCTTATACCGTTACCGATACGGCCATAAGACAACTAGTCGACTTGCCTGTAACTATACCCGCAGCCATTTATCCTCGCTTGATTAATATCAATCCGCCAACAGCATCAACGAGCCAAGGTAATTCTATGATACTGGAGAGATTTGGATTTTTCTCTTATAGAGAAAATAGGCCTAGAGAAGATAGGACGCCAATACGTCATGGTCCTGCAGATCCAGCGATCTCGTTGATAGAATTATTAGACGATATTATCTTATTCTATCATGTAGCAGCGAAAAAGCAATTAGCCAAGGTGGCTGGTCTACGCGACAGTATGTCTGCCTATGTTAACGCGATCGCCAATACGAAAGCAAGACTCGAACACATCAAGCGGGAGACAAGTCCGGGGAAGAGTCCAAACGCGAAGGCAATACAAAAAGAACTGCTCCGTACAACGGACATATTTAATAAAAAATTGTCGGAGCAAGCAAGACACATGGCGTGGATCAGGGCCGTCGTATACTCGGAAGAAAAACAAGCGCAGTTGGCCTGGCTGCTAAAAGTGGTTACATTGACTTTGCAAACGGCCAGTCAACAGGGCAACATGTTCAGCTTCGTGCCTGATTTCTATCTGGAGACGTTATCTGATCTGAGTATAAGCTTGCGCGCCCACATGCATCCCACTGTGCCAATCGAGAATATCCCAGATTATCGAACGATATTATGTAACACTGCCGAATTTCTGTGCGATCATTTTCTCGATCAGCGTATAGTACATGCCAATTCCAAGGATGTGCTAATACTTGCACTTGCTGGTTTCGTGTCAAATTCGTTGATGCTGGAGGCATTGGAAAACGTGCCGCGCAAGAGCAGGATAAAACTTGTCACGAGTTTATTGAAACCGTACGAGAATAGAGCGTGGGCGCAATCCAATTGGGTCCTGCTTAGATTTTGGCAGGGTAACGGTTTTGCCTTTCGATACGAGAAAAGTCCGCATCTCTCGAAAATTGGCATGAAGCAACAGGAATCTGTCTATCAGCTCATAAGTATGTTATTCTCTTTTTTCATTTTTTAATAATTAAACCTTGAGCATTCAAATTTCATTATTAAACCATTGAGTATACGAATTTTTTAAATATTTGGACCACATTAGTAGTTGTCATTTTTTTCAATATACAAAAAGAATTGACGATAAGATTAACTGAATATCATAAGGCAACCTTTTCTGATAGATTCCTTAATTTTTATTCTAACCATCCATTGTGTCATAAAAGAGACTTAATCTATGGAATTGTAGATAAAATATTTCGTTTGTGCCATCCAATATTCCAGCAAAACAATCTAATTGATGCCATTAACATATTTTTAAATAATGGGTACCCGTTATCTTTCATTTTTCTAACGATCCAGAATAGAATCAAATTTCATATTAATAATATTTCTAACAACAATAAGATTAATATGAAAAAATTTTTCACTATTCCTTATGTCAATACAATTTCTGAAAATTTTTAACTTGTCAATATGTTTAACTGCAAACTGGCTTTCACCATTCCTAACACACTAAAAAATTTCATAAAGAGAGATAAGGATAAGTTGGAACAAGCATACAGTCAGAATGGTGTTCACAAAATATCATATGATGATTGTGACGTGAGTTATGTTGGCCAAATGAAAAGACAGTTAAAAACGAGAGTGCATGATCATATTTCAGATACAAATAAAATCTTTAAGTCTCCTTCGGTCATTTCTAACTACTGCATTGAGATGAATCATAACTTTAAATTGGATAAAGTAGAAATATTAGACATAAAACCTTCATACAATAAAAGATTGATATCTGAAATGGTGTACATAAAGAAACAAAAACATGGTATAAACAAACAAAACGACACAGATTCACTGCCAGATATGTATTGTAACATGATACATTCTCTTTCCCCTTCCTAATATTTATCCTTTTTCCTTTCTTTCCTATATTCTCCGTGACTAGTATGTGTTTTCCTTTCTGACATTGCGTTATCTAGCATAGTTAAGATTAGTCGTTTGTATACTTCTGCAAACTCGCTTCAATTTTAATATTTCTATGTAACAATGGACTATTTGTATCTTTATTATACTGGTTATTACTTTTATTTTTATTTCTTTAACGGATTATCAACAGATATAAATGACAAAGTACATTATTATATGTTTTTATATATATCTATTGTTAATTTTTATTAATTTTTTTTGCTCACGAATATTTGTAGAATACCAAATTTTACACACACAATCCGACTTTTTAATTAACTGACTCAAAGCACGAAGAACACGAACAAAATAATTTTTGAAGGATAATGAATTCTGTATTGTTCACCTCATAGATGATAACGATTTTAATTACGTCTCTACTGCAACATTGAGTGACCCGATCGGAGTCGAAACGTTTGTAGATATATTTATTATTATTATTTGAATTAAAGTTTTTTGTTTGTTACATCGTTGGCTCTTTGCCCTTTTTTATTTGTTTTGTTAAATCATTGAAGTAACAAATTTAAATTATATGCAAATTGTTACACAACGTGTGACATATATCTTTGGATTTTTATAAAATTTAAACTTTATTTCGATCCAATATTTTCAGGATTCGCTATATTGTTTCAGAACCATGTCCATCGGTAATATATCAAGCGCACGTAAGGGACGTGTTGTTGGATAGTCCGCAGGCTTCTACACAATTTTTGAACTCGCTATTGAATCAATTGAATTGGGCATTTTCCGAGTTTATTGGCATGGTGCAGGAAATTCACAACGTATCGTCCAGGCCGGAGCGTGTGTTTATCGAATCTAGACAATTGAAGATTTGTGCCACTTGTTTTGATCTTGCTATCTCGTTGCTTCGAGTGTTAGAGATGATTTCCACGGTAGCTTTGGATGTTTTCAGCGATCCCAAGCAGTCTTCCAGCGAAATCTTGTTGGCCAGATTGTGTCAAGTAAGTGAGAATAGAATTCGCAATTGCGATTCTTCGAGTTGTAAATCATGTTGTGATTTCAGTTACTCTGCCAAGTATTGAATAGAATGAGCTCGCAAACTAACTGTTTTCAACATGTGATGCTATTGGAAATACCGGATTTAGAATCTGTAGATCACTTTCCTATATTGGCTGCCGTTATTGGTATTCTGTTGGCTCTTCTTGAAAAAGACATGAAAGATTTTGGAGGTAAATTACAATTTTTGTTGCGGATAAATTATGAAGAAAACTACATATTTTTACGAAATAAATCTTAATGTCTTTTGTTATTAGCAAAATCGACACTCGAAATACCCAGAATTACACGAAGTTTATTAACAGAACCAAGCTTCCAGATCAGTTCTCTGCATTTTGTTCTAAGTGACACAAAATTGAAAAATACAAAGACAAAAAATATAAAGCCGTTCTCGTTGTTGAACTGTAAGTATTTTGTGAGTTACTGATATCTCGTGAGAAAATTGTGATTAATTTTTAATATTTTTAGAACAATTTTTGTAACGTTATCAAAAATGTTAGGAAAATCATGATCATAGTTACGTGGGACAACCTGAATATACAAACACGAATACACCACGCACACACATACACAGAGAATAAAAGTAACTCGTTATTTGTAACGAAATTACAGTTGCTTTTGTTTTGTGAATTATACGACTTCCCCATATCTCTTTCGGTGATTTGAATACATATAATACAATGTTCGCGTTAAACGTTAACTGTAGTTCAGAAAGCGTCTACCCGTTCGAGAAAGATATCCTGTAACCACGAATTCTTTAAGTTGTACATCCAATCGAAGCCATTACTGCAAACGAGTTGCACACCTTTCTGTAATATACATCAGTTTTTAATTGTTGAAGTCGTATTAATAATTTGTAGATACCTTTACACATCTGACTTATCTTGATGATATCTTAATTCGACTTAATCCATCCTTGCCTCGGAATGAAAAATAGCTTATAATCACGGACTATAATGCTCGTATTCATAGTAAAGCTTTATATAATATCTAAGACTTTCTCAATCTAAATTGATCTTCAGATGTTCTACGAATTATTTTATTAACTACTAAACATCTAAAAATAAATTTAAGAAAGCCTATACATCTAAGGTCTGACTATGAATATGAGTATAAATGTTGCATAATTTATTTCGCTTTTACTTGTTATATTTAAGGTCTTTTTGATGTTCAGATATTCATTTTATTTTTTGACTGTGACAACTTGTTTACAAATGTTAATTCTTTCAACTTAGATGTTGGCCTGAAATCATTAGCTCGTGTTTATATAATTATAAAATATTTGGAACACAATACACATAAAACGAATAGGTATAATTGAAATTTGACGATATGTACTGCGTTCCAGATATTTCTTAATTATTCTTAATTATTCTTAATATTAATCAATGTAACTATTGAAGAACTTGACTGTTGAAGAAACCTCTGTGAGGTTAAAACGTTTAATATTTGGACCATGGATTACTAGATTTGTTGATTAATAAATGACTAATTTAATTACATCAGTACCTCGTTGTTGGTTTTATTATTTTAATTTGCTTTGTATATTACGATCTATATATTTGACTGTTACAATCTTTTTCGTTAACATTTTTTTGTATCATTAAAGAGAATAAAGATTATGCTATTTCAAAATTTGCTACTATCACAGTCTAAAAATTGAAAATCTATAGTTTATGTTACGTGTATTATAGTTTTTTAGCACTGGCAGTGAAGTTTAGAACAAAGCCATTCTATATGTTTAAGTTAAAGAAAACGTTTTTTAAATATAATTATAAAATTGTATAATTACGATATTTAAAATTAAATATATATAATATATATATATATATATATATATAAAGTAAAGCAGATGATATCATATCTCGACACTTGTCATACACTTTTACCCGATACCAAATTGATAAGTGATGATGACAACGCTTGTACAATTTGTTACGCGTTTCCAATTACCGTTGTATTTAAGCCGTGCAATCATCAAACGTGTCGCACTTGTATAGATCGTCATTTACTCAATACTAGAGAATGTTTCTTTTGTAAAACGATTATAGACAAGGTTGAAGATCTAAGCGGAAACACTTTGCATGATTTTACTAGTGAATTTTCAATTTCGAAAACAACTTCTTGATCCAATGATAAAATCGTTTCGCAACTTGGATACATTATATTAACGATTTGAATTCATGCAATGTGTATATGTGTATGTATGTATGTGTGATGCGCGCGCGCGTCGAGCATCAAATCTCAACAAAGTCATCGCATGTAATTTTAATATAGGTATAACAAAAAAATTCTATAAGAGGAAGATGGGAAAGAAAAAGAGAGAATTGGGATAAATTAAAAGTAACAAGAAGTTGTATAAAATATCACAAAGAGTTCTTTTTTTATTCACAGGTATAATAAATTATATACTATTGAGCACATCTTGATGAAAAAAGACGTCAAAAATAGAAAAGAAATATATTCACACAATTATATGAGCAAATCAGTTAATTTGTAAAACTTACTGATAAAAATTGTATATATATCAGTCTTTTTTCGCGACGCCTTAACTATATATCTTTCTATTGTAACACAATTTAACTTAAAAGTAAAGCATATATCTGGATTGTAAATTAGCTTTCTCAATTTCATTTAAATTGAATTACATATGAGATCTATAGAAAACGTAGTACGTCGTTAATGAATTGTTACCGATGTTAATAAAAAAAATCTCTAAGTTTCTCAGATTGCATAATGTGTATTTTGAGTGTACTGTTGTTATCAAACACACAAGCTTTCTCTGAACTGTCTGAAACCAGTGACTAGTGGCGGTTCAGCCGGCGTCCTCTGTAGATCTTGAAGGGCCTCCATAAATACAACACCGCATACAAAAGCCCCGAATGAGATCAGGAAGATTGCAAAGACGACCAGCATGCGAGTTTTATTTAAGTACAATTCTGGATCTTTGAGGAATACATTTTGCAGGAGACAGATACCTGGCACTATGAAAATAAACATCGCGGACAACGATCCTAGTAAGTTGATGACCGGTGAGATGTCCGGCACCAGAACGGCGATAACCAGCGACAGAATGAACCAAATCAATGTGATGATTACACGGATGCCAATTCGATCAAAACTCACATTAAAGACACTGAGAAGCGCGTCTCTGCCACAATATAATACGATGGGATAGGTTGTAAAATTTTTTATCGCGATTGCAATTATCGCCACGGTTACAATGGCACTCTTATCGGTGTAGCCTTGCAGAATATCGCTTGGGACTTTACCATTACCGAACGTGGCGTAGCCGAAATAACCGACGACGCTGTACGTGCCATAACTGATCAGCATGCTGACGACGGCACATATAGTGAACTTGCACAAATTACGGTCCTTCATACAGGCATAAGTCGGTATCGCTGTCATGTGATTCTGTAAAATATGTATACCTGTATATATGTATTGATTTAAGCAATATAATTTATGTTGAAGTAATAAAGATTACATTAAAATTATATATATATATATACTATATATAACATATAATTATTACACTATTAATTTAATAATTGTATTTAATCAAATAATACATAGATTAAAAATGCATGTACTTGATAAGCGAAGCAAACAATGGGTATTATCTGTAGAATTTCATATCCATTATCTGGCCAGATTTTTATAGGTGATATAGGATTATTTTGCTCGTCGAAGCTTTTGTAAATAATTAACCATACGACATAAATGATGGTTATGCAACCAACAGAACTTGCGTAACTTAAAACATCCAGTCTTTTAAAAAAACATAGCGGCAATATAAATGTACTGCAAGATAAAACTGTCACAAATGGCCTGGATAAATACCTGGGAAAGATAAAAAACTTGGATCAAATTTCTAAAATAAAAACATAATTTGATGAGTTGTATTTCTTTGTTTTATAATTACCACGTATGACAATAGTCCAGACCATAATATGTGGCAAACACTCTATCAAATTGATCACCAACAATTATCAGAAACGTTAAACAACAACCGAAGCTGTAAATAGCTATGCAGATTCCACAGAAAGCAAGTGACTTGGATCCACATAATCCAGCGAATGTATCTTGCATTGTATCGGTATCTGTACTGTTGCTACAACTGGCCAGTATCACCAGAGAAGCTGTGATCAATATTAGCAAGACAAGTTGAGCCACGACAGAAGTTCCTACCCCTCCAGCTTTATCGAAGGCCTGTGGGAAATTCAACAATCCAGCTCCTAGTGTAGTATTCACGATCAAAAAGATTGTTCCCAAGATACCAGCACCTAACGTAACGTACAACAGATGTCCAACAAATTTTTTTATTATATATACTCTCATTCAGTACGTTTAAATCTATAATCTTGATATATCTTGAGTATAAATCAAATAAATTTTCAAAACACTTTCTAACTTTAAATTAAATAATTTAGAGTTCCTATAATTCACATTTTAATTAATTAAAAGTAGAAAGAAAATATTGAGTCCTTAGATCAATATTATTTAATATTATATAATATTGATCATCCAAACCCAGCAAACACCAAGTTACATGTAACGTACATATTAATAATTGTAATTTCCCACTCAACAATATAACTGTAACATATAACACATATTATATTACAGTTATATTGTTGAGTGGGAAATTACAACTAACGTGTACGTTACATGTAACTTGATGTTTGCTGGAAAGGCTGTTTGTGTAATATTGTATATTATATCAATCAAAAGTTCTTTGAAATACATTGCGCAACTTATGAAATATTGATCTATTAATTTTATTATTACACACAGTAAAGAGTGCCAAATTCTTCAAGTGTATTGCGAATTATTACCTTTTGTAAATTTTCATTATAATAATATTATAGCAATACTTTTTTGAGGTAATATAGTACACTTATGAACTTTGGATCTGTGTAAAAGATTTTTCAGTAGCAAGATACTACAGTGTAATAGATGCTAACTAGATGATATGACGTCTTTCATGCAAATATCAATTTTCTTAATTTCAATTATAATAACTTATTAGGACTATGACATACAAAAAGCTATTAAGGCAATAAGACGTAAGTAGTAAAGAAATCAACACACTGGATTGGCTACTGTTGAAGTTATAACTTTACAGATTGTAGTAGCAGCACGTATTTTTCAAGAACAGAATCCAAATAGACATTAATATCCGGACGGATATTCAAAACTGTGTGTGTTATTTGAGTGGCCGTAAGTAAGTGACTCACCCAGTATATTGTCACTCATCAGTGGAAAAATTAATATTGAAAACAGATATAAAAATACTTATCTTAAAAATACTTATACACATGCGTAGAGTAAAGTGGAGTAATTTGTATAACAGAAATTTTCAAATTATATTAAAGATTGAGGTTGTGCATATACTGTGTGTGTACTTAATTAAACATACAAAACATACATACTGCACCAGTAGTATATGTTTTGCATATTAATTTGATACACTATGCAACACACGCACACGCGCACACACAATCTCAATCTTTTATATAATTTAAAAATTTCTGTTATAATGTATTAAAAAATAATTATCCCGCTTTACTCTATACTCGTCTTGTCATCATTTATTTGCGATACGCTGCGATCGAGAGTGCAAGAAACGAGCAAGAATGGTTTAATATGAGATATAAAAACGGTGAACAATTTTTATAAGGGAAATTTCACTAACTCTTACAATTCATTTGTCAAATTTTTAAGAATACTTTTTTCTCTTCATATCCATTTCTTCATTCACTGCCAGTAAACACCAGCTAACAATGATATTACAATGTTTAATGTATAATTTCTCTTTTAACGATATGAATATGTATAATATATACATATAACACGTAAGAAATAGTTATTGTTAAATGAAAATCAGATGTTTCCTTAAAATAGTCTACGAGCACCAACGAGATACTACAATATTAAAGACATTTGAACCTATAAGCTTTTCGTGACTATCAATGGGATACCGCGGAGACCCGAAGACAATTAAAGAACGATGACCATTATTAACAATTAATAAAAATGTGCAATTATTAATATAAAATTTCAATAATACGTTATTAAATTCGTGATTTTTTATTATATAAATATTGTATAAATAAATAATATAATCGCATATTTTTAAACTAATAATATCTTATATATATTGCCAAAAAATTACAATTGTTTTCTGCAGTTATCATTTCACGGACCCAATTTAGTCTTTTAGGAATAGAGAAACGGATTCTAAAGTTCTACTTTAGGCGAGAAAAGGTATGGTAACTCAGGCATGTGGACGAAACCGTTTTTCGCCATCTTCATTTCCAGTAACTTACACATATAGGATGAAGCAAAAACAGGTCATCTGAATAACTCATTTGTTTTTAACAATAAAAGTGTCAAACATAAAAAGTTGCTTAGTTTCAAGAGGCACATAATGTGATGTCAATAATTGTATTATAGGTGGAAGCGTAAAGGACGCAGCAAAGGTCAAATCTGTTTTTTTTAATGGAATATGTTTTTTTATTTACATTCTAATAGAGCATTTTAGACCTATAATTGAAGGTCATTCAAGGTCAATAATGGAAAATAATTGAATAGAAAATAAATTGTTTCAATAAGGCACTGTTCAAATAATTTCGTGTCTTCTCTGCTTGTTGGTATACCCGCTAATCGTTCAAGTGTATCACGGTATGTAAATAAACACAGAAATATTACATAAAAACGCTTATATTGTTTTACTCTTTATTAAATATGATATTTTCAACAATGTCTTTGCAAGTAAGTATATAGTAACGAACGATTTTTTAAATACTTATTTGTTATTTGCATTAATGTATTTATTGCGACTTCTTGATATCACTATATCTTTTTTTTTATAAAATACAAACTAAAACAAGGAGGATAATATAAATTTCCTATTTTATTTTTTTACTTAGCGTAACCATGCACATTTTTTACTCCTTTTTCGAGTAATCTTTAATTTTTTTATTTAATAAAATTTTAATATATTCTAAATTTATTCAAAAATATATGTACTACTTTTGCCTTATTTTATTACGAATAATTGTATCATTTAGTACAAAAGTTAAATAAGTGCATTATCTAGTATAATTTCGAGAACAGAGGAAAAAGAGAAATTTGTGTATTCCTAGTAATTTTATCTTATATTTCTTACAGAAACATATTGCGCTACCAAAAAAGCTGCAAAGGCTTTGAAAAGTTTTCATCTGTCTATAAAAGTGAATCAGGTTGTCAAATGGGCAGAGGAGAGAGATAGAGAAAAAGGCGATTGTTCAATCCTTTTTCATCTGATGATGATTCATTTGATTCTGAAAATAAAAAATGCAAGCAGGATGAATTTAAATCAAAAATACCAGCTGCTCCTCTTCCACCACCTTCTCTCGCTGGTATATCTGACGAAGCCTTCAAGTACTTCAAAGGAGAATATTGTTGAGCTGACAATTGCTCCTCATACGAAACAGGACAAGAGGAGCTACTGCTTCTCCAGTCCTAATTGCAGCCTCAACTAAACGGAATAAGTTTCTGCAAGTTATTAATCATAAGCAGCAGGCAGTGAAAATGGCATTACAAAGAAAAAAAAAGCAATGTCTTTAGAAAATATACATTATAATATAATGTCTATGAGAAAGAAAGCAATCGATAACAGATCGTGCTGTAAAGTACCAGTGAAAGTTTCAGAGTCAGGTGGAAATCTATATCACAATTTTCGTCAATTTTATCACCCTTAAACTCGCAACCTGTTGAACAATCATTATCAGATACTAGTGAAAATTCAAATGAAGATAGAAGAGACTCTGATCCTCATGAAGTATCAGGAGTTTTATTAAAAACTGTCTCGGCATCAAAATCGACTACTGATAGCAGTAAGTTTAGTAATAAGAATTGAATTCACATTTCCGTAAATTTTCGAATAGTCACAAAAAAGATGCGCTACTACGGTAGAAGTGATCAAATTATTATTTATAGATCTGTATAAATCCCTGAAAAAATTAGACCAAAAAGTAGACAATAGAAAGCGAAACTTGATATGATTCTTACTAATCAATTTAAAATACTTAATAATCAATCTAATAAACAAAATTTTAATGCCAGAAGAAAAAGTTCTCTTTAAACCTTCAAATATGCCTGCACTTTCTTTAAATACCATAGAATAAAGTCAAAATGTTCGAAAAATTTCCTTCAAATGAAGTTAACTTGTTAGATACCGTGAGTAAGGTTTATGCTTTTACGATAATGTTCATAATAATAAAGCCAATTCCATTTCCATAATCTAAGTAGCATATATCTTATCAAAATCACTAAGTTCTTTAGATTTTGCTTCTTATATAAGTTCTATTATTTCTGTCATTTTAAGATTGGATCCTCATGCAGTCACCAGTGCTTTGACACCGAGCACTGATTAATGAAAAATAGGTGATAGAGGGTAAATAGTAAGTGCTTTTACTCCTCTACTATCCGTTTTTCACCAATCAGCACTGGTGTCAAAACGCCAGTGTCTGCACGGAGATCCAGTCCAAATTGGTAATTATTAATAGTTAGTAGTGGAGCGTTGCAAGTCTTATTTAATATTGCACTTAATATTTCTTCACTTGATGTTGTAATAAAAGAGAATGACTTTTGTTTTAGTTATTTTTGTTTCAAAATCCTCTTTATATTTTAATGTTACTATTTAAAATCTCTTCCTTTGGGAAATGATGATACTCGAGCGGTATCTAAACTTATGTCGCATATCATTAGTAATTCTCTTGCCAAAGTTTAACTTTGATGGTCATGGAGAAAAATTCGTTTTTAAATTCACTAAATTATGGGAATTCAAGGTTAGTAATTGAGTAAATAAGTCAAATAAAGGGAAAGTGAAAGAGAACCATATTTAATTGAAAATTATATTTACTACGTATAGCTTTAAGGATCTTTTAATTAATTGAGCTAATTTTTTTATTAGTTTATCTTATCTAATTCATGTTCTTTTTATTTGAAATGTTGATATTTTTTATCCATGCATCTATACATTTTTCAGGTACATTGTCCATGAAATTTGAAGAAAGTGATCTCACAATCAGTCAGACAAATGACGTCCCTCAGGTCATGACTGTGAAATGCCAAAGGAAAAAAACATTAGGTATGTACAACGTTAATTATGTTAAAACTTTCTTATCGATTACAGTTTTGGTTTAAAATCATCAAATTATTATTTGCGTATAATTGAGAAATATTTTTATTTTATTTGATTTTTATTGAAAGAATAAAGTTATTTCTTTAACTTAAATTAATTTAAACAATATTTTAAATTAATTTAATTAACAAATTTGAACAATTGATTTTAAATCCTTATTATTCAAATGAAACTTAAAAATGCTTACCACATAAGTGTTAAATTCATAATATCAATGTTCACTAGATTTAATACAAAATATATAACGAAAATTTATTAAATAATAACAGTAATAAGTTGTTATAATATTGTGTAATGTAAGATGTTCCTGTTAAGGGAATGCTGGAGTGACAGTTAAAATGAAATGGAAAAAAAATTTACAGTTTCGTTATCGGCTTCTCACATAATGTGTCGAGTCGACTGCAGAAGCCGATAACGAAACTGTAAGTTTTTAATTTTCTTCCGTTTTTCGTATTGAAATGTAGCTAGCGCAATTCATTGTTGTCGATACTTTAATTATGCAGAAGGATTTTTCCATCCGTAAATGCAATTAAGAGAAACGAGTCTTTTAACTAAGTAATGATAAAACAGGACACTCCAGCATCCCCTTAATGGCAATGCAATAATATAAAATTGATTTTTTTTTTGTGTTTCTGTGAAAATATATATGCAATAATAATAAAATATTAAAAAATAATAAACTAGAAGAAGAAGCCTATAACGGTCGAAGCTAGATCAACGTGCTTATAATAATTGTGTGAAATTTTATATACTGCGTATGTAGTCCCCCCCGCGACGCTGATAGATTTTCAGCATTGACGCATACATATTCACTACCGCAGTAATATCACTAAGTTAAATTAACAAGCAATTTAACAAATT